ACTATTATAGCGTAGCGCTTGCGAAGACCAGGCGGATGTTAGTACGCCAAGAACAATGACGCTGCTGGTGGTGGCTAGATCCTGACAGATGGTCTACCTACTGCTGCTACTGGTGTGCTATGGACCGCTGGGTGGGAGTTGGGTTACGTCCTTCTAGCTAACATCCAGGGGGCTAATCCGCATGAGTCAGTGAACAGACCATGTGCTAGACCCGCTGCCCTTCGGGGGTACATTTAATCGAAGGCTTTGTTTGAGGACCCGAGTTGTTCTCCTGTCAGGTGTGGGCGCCCTGCCAGTATCATAGTCCATCCTCTTCGGAGGTTAGGAAGTGCTCGATGACCCTCTTCCCATTAAACCTAGCCATGGGAGACAACAGGTCTACGAGTTATAAGCTCACAGCTCGATTGGCGTAGAGCACGAGGGCCACGCATTGTCTCTGACGGTGGGAGGGCACCTCCGGGTGTTCAGTGGTTTGCTGCTGCTCGCCTCAAGCCAGGCAGCCCCTGTTCAAATTGGTGCAAACCCGCCAAAACCCATCTGCGTCTGCCCGTGGTCGCAGGTGTGTATCCTACTACGGTCGCAAAAATATATGAATCGGTCCAGTACCTCAAAGCCTGCGTGTGACGGACCGTCAAGCAGATACCAATCTGTCTCTGCAATCACATTCCCGAGCTGGATCTGCTCCCCACTGCCTTGTGGGTCAGGCTCTTGAGTCAAAGTCTCCGGGTTTAGTCTAGCAAACCTCCAAACCACCCACTGCTTTGTGGGTCAGACTTGAGCAAAAGGCTCCGGGTGGAGTCTCTCAAGCAAACCTTCGAAACACAACATCCACCTCGCTTGCGATTGCCCACCAATGTAATCGTATGCCTGCGCGCAAAGTGCTCAGCATCGGGTGCTGGAACGTGCGCACACTACTGGACCGGAACTCGAATGAGCACCGCGAGCGACACAATGCACTGGTCGCAATGGAATTGGCATGCTACCACATCGATATTGCGGCGCTCTGTGAGACCCGGCTTGTTGAGCAAGCTAAGTTGTATGAAGCAGGTGCTGGCTACACACTCTACTGGGTGGGCCACGCCGCCTCAGCACCACGTGATCATAGGGTCGGATTTGCAATATCCGATCGCCTCCATGGCCAGCTGATGGGTGAACCAACGGGCATCAGCGCGCGACTGATGACTCTTCGTCTACGACTCGGAAGAGGTAAGTTTGCCACTTTTATAAACACATACGGTCCGACCATGTGTTATGCTGATGACACGCGTGATCAATTCTACACTCAGCTATCCTCCGTGATACGGTCTGTGCCGAGGAGCGACCGATTATTTCTGCTGGGTGATTTTAACGCGCGCGTTGGACGTGATGCATAGGTGTGGACAGATGTCAACTGCGTATCACCCACGGCTTGACGATCATGAACACTCGGTTTGCACTGAGTGCGAGTGATATAACAACTTGGACGCACCCACGGAGTGGTCACGCTCATCTGCTAGACCATCTCATCGTACGTCAGCGTGACATGCGTGAAGTGCGCATGACACGTGGAGCTGAGCGTGGTACTGATCACAAATTGGTGCAAACGAAACCGTACATATATTTTCGTACATCTATATTTTGTGCTCGTGCCTTGAATTGGCGTAAATTTAACATTCTCTCTCGGTACTGTGCAGGGACTTATCGTGGTGGAGAAGGCGATGGTCGCCCGCCTTTGTGGTGTTGAGTGCATAGCCACAACGGGCGACCTGTGGCACCACATTCGCGACCAGGTGACAGCTGCTGCGGAGGAGACCATCGGACGCGCAAACTGTAGGCGGCCTGGTTGGTTTGATGAGAACAATGCGACGATTGGCGCATTTGTGTCAGAAAAGAATGCAACATTTGCTGCACGTGTGGCAGACCCCAATGGGGAAGAAGCAACATTTCGGCAACTTTGACGGCGACTGACCCAAGAGCTCCGTCGCATTAAAAATGCATGGTGGACAGAGAAAGCGAAGGATGGAATGCTACACCGAACGTCGCCAACACAAGGAATTCTTTGATTCCTTGAAGGCGGTGTATGGACCGAGGTTGGAGCCGCTAAAAACGCTTCTCGTTAGTAGCTCAGGCGCTATCTGCACATAAACTGCAGACATAATGTAGTTCTGGCGGGAACACTTTGACTTTCTCTTGAACAACCGTCCAGGGATTGACTAGCCTACTTTGAACAGCATTAAGAAGCGCGATATGATGATGAGTCTGGCGGACACGTCGACACTGGATGAGACGCAGAGAGCACTTGCTCAGCTGCGAAACGGCAAGTGTGCCGGTGCTGACGGGATCCCGCTTGAAGTATTGAAACACGGCGGACCCGCGTTGTTGACTGCGCTGCACCACTTGGTGCAACGTGTATGGATTGAAGAGGAGGTGCCTGCTGAGCTGAAGGATGCCATTGTGCCACCACTGTACAGGGGCAAAGGTAGCAAGCAATGTTGCACGAATTATCATGGCATCAACTTGCTGAGTTGTGCGGGCAAGGTGATTGCCCGAATCCTGCTTAATCGCCTCTTGAGTCAGATTGTGGAATCTAACGTGGCGGAAGAGCAATGTGGATTCCGTTCGGGTCGCAGCACTATAGGTATGATGTTTGCGGCTCGTCAGTTGCAAGAGAAGTGCAGATAACGACATCAGCCGTTGTACTGGCTGTTTGTTGATTTCACCAAGGCATTTGATCCGGTGAATGGCGAGGCGTTGGGGCTGGTGTTGGGTAAGTTTGGTTGTCGTAATAAATTTTTAAGTTTGATTGAATGTCTCCACAGTGGTATGCGGGCGTGGGTGCAGCTGAGTGGAGAGACCTCGGATGACTTTGCAGTTGTCTCTGGTGTGAAGCAAGGCTGTGTCTTAGCTCCTGTCCTATTTAATATATATCTTTATGCAATGGAGTATTGTGCTTTTGATGCCGCTTGTGATTACGGTGTTCGTGTGGAGCACCGTATTGATGGTGGGTTGCTGAACATCCGTCATCTCGGTACGAAAACCTTAGTCTGTAAGAAAATTATCCGTGTGTTGCGCATGACTAGTTCTCTGGCTTCATCATCGTCCAAATTCGGTCTCACTCTCAACACAAGCAAAGCTGTCTGTCTCTTTCAGGCTTCACCGGAGGTGCAGTCTGTAATGGTGCCGCGAATCAGCATTGGTGCTGAAGTGTTGGAAACCATCTGCCGCTTCTGCTACCTTGGGAGTGTGGTGTCGACTGACTCGCTACTGTCCATTGAGCTGCGTCTCGGAGGTAGCGGCGGCATTCCGGAAGCTGGAGTACCTAGTGTGGAACAACCATCTTACCGTTGGCACGAAACTGATGGTGTACAAATCCATGGTGCTGTCTGTTCTTCTACACGGTAGCGACACCTGGACGATGTACCGGCGTGATGTGTGATATCTCGAGCGATTCCATTAACATTGTCTGCGACGGATTCTGCACATTGATTATTGCACAGAGTTGCGGACGCGGAAGTGTTGCGCCGAAGTGGAATGTATGCAGTAGACTACGTACTTTTGCTGAGACACTTGAGATGGCTCGGTCATGTGAGCCGTATGGATTCGACGCGGATACCGAAGCAGCTATTTTATGGCCAGCTGGGTGGGGGGAAGCGGCACGTTGGGAAACTGATGCTTCGTTACCAGGACATAGTCATAGTGAACCTATCACATTCTAATATTGATTGCAGGTCATGGTAATCGAAGGCGGTTGATCGGCGTGCATGGCGCGATCTGATCACGAAGGCCGTTTCCGCTTTGCAAGAGAAAGCTCTCGTGCATGCGGAGAAGCAGCGGCATTTGCACAAATGACAGGCGCCGATGGGGTGTACTCAATGGACGTCGAGCGCACGATGCTGTAGCACATGCGGTCGCGAGTCAGCCAGGCCTAGTGAGCCTTGAGCGAAGCCACTCGGTGACAACACCGGAAGGACGACGAGTCCTGCAGATAAGGTAGGCAGAACCGACGCAGCGTCTGTAGCTACGCTACATTCGATTTAAGTAATAATGTGTCAGCTGTACGCCGTAACGGCGCTTCGCTGCCGCGCGACCACCACCAGTGGCGCGCGGGCTGAATATACCGCGAAGACGCCCACCTCTACGCGGATTCGGACCGGTGACCTTGGTTGCAAACCAAACGTGCAGACCACCCGGCCACCGGCCTGCTTGCATGCCAAATCACTTTATTTCAGATGGTGTCTTTGCTCTATTGTCCTAATGCCTTTTATCTCATTTTAATATATACCTTAACTATCTTCTATACACTTGCACATGTCCCTTAAGCTACTTTAGTTAACTTGGATAAAAATTTTCTCGTTTTGTGGCATTTTCTCAAAACATATTTTTTGACGTCTTGAACTTATCGCGGATTTGTTCGTAACCATTTTATTTCATATGATCATTTAGTGAAGAGTTATGTCACTGTATGTGTATGCATTATTCGCTTTATTTGATTTGATATCGTCGTTTCAAGGGATTGGCTGTTGCTTGATATCCCAGTGTGGCTGCGCTTCATGTGCATGTTGACAAAGTTCCTATCTCTCTATTACCCACTACCTCGTTCATACTGGCTCCAGGAGACAGTTGGTCGTTGCTGGAGGGGACGGGGGTGCACGGTCCTCGTGGCCGTGCTAGGCTCGAGGAGTGGTTCCATGCACTCATTGTACATCGGACCTCAGTCCAGCCACCGCTTAGTGCGCGAATGATGCTCTTAGCAGTGGCCCCGTATCTGGAGTGCTTCGGCTGCCTGACAAATACTTTTAATGCTATCTTAGGGAGGGTACTTTGCAAAGCATTGCACTATCCGGCCGTTAGGACCTGATGTCTTATCATAGTTATCCATACAACACAACTACGTGTTTATGCTAGTTTGATCGCTAGTACTTTACTTCCAGGTAGGTGCTGCTTGTTTTCAGTTACTAGCGAGCTTTGTTAAAAGTTCTGTGTTCCCAACAGCGAATTCATCTAATCGTCACGATTTTTTAATGCTCAGCACCTGGAGTCGAGCTATTCGCTTTAGTGACGCGCTTGTAAGTCACGAATTTGCGGTGTACGCTCTCAAACAACAACTGTCTTACCATAATAGTCAGTAGTGGAACGGTAGACTGTCTACCAAATAGCCAATATTCTGGATTTAGATCCAGTTTCAAGAAAAGTGAGGCACTATCCAAGAAAACCGCTCTACTCGGCGAAGCATAAGTCCTGTTTGCACGATCTTCGACGAGCGTGCAGTAGTGAACAGCCACCATCGCAATGGTGAGTATATTCGCTTTGATTTTGCGACCCTTTCCTGTACGGTAATCCGCTTTATCACTTACCATAACCTGCAGCTAGACCGCGTTCTTGAATGCTAGCCTTGTTCACTAACGTCTGAAACAGGTCCACCCTTTAGAGCAGGGCTTTTGATTTGAAACTTAGAATCTTAGCTGTGCCTCGTCGCATGTCGCTTGTCTCCCATTCTGTCATGGGAAAATTTGGCCGAACAAAATTAACGGTCAACCTGGTGATGGCACGTACCTCTCGCACCGTTCGCTGACGGAATTCAGTGACCAGTACCGTTTCCTCTTTGATCTTCGTATTAGAAATGTTATGTTCGAGTAGGGGCAATTTAAAACACTGGCTGTTAGATGGCATCTTTTCCACGAAGATATGCTTGTTCACATCTTTTTTCTTTCCTGCCCCTGGCTAATATATGAATTTGCGTAAAATTTCCAGATTGCATAACCCATGAAGAACTCAAGCTAATTGTTGTTTATAAGCTAATCGTCAGACTAGTTTTTCAGGGACTTTGTTGATACCCGAACTTTTTTTGTACCTTACTTCAGGCTGTGTACAGTCATTTCCCCGATGATCCACGATGGCAGCTTTTACCCACTCCTCTAACACTAACTCAATTTGAAAGTCTCCCTTTGACGAGATCGCAATTCTTCAAATGTGCGATGGATTTTCTGGATCAGCACCACGGAGTGGTGTGCACCCGTGATGGTCACTTAAGGATGACGCTTGGATTTTGGCGCCCTGGAGCGTTCACATACAAGCTGCAATATATGACATCAAGTGCCGGGCATCCTCATCCTGAGACATTGTCTGCCAATCCGGTCGATTTGTCTGACCGTGCTCCTAACGTGGATATTGAATTGAAGAACTTCCTGCTTCAAGAGACTACGGAGAACAGACTTAATTTTTATTTCCGTTTACCGTTATCCGGTATATACTATCTGACTATTTACGCACAGGTATGTATTTTTTCATCGGATTTTACTGGCGTCGCTTACCCCACGATACCATTTTCCTCTTTGTTGCGCATTCGATCTCCACGGTGTAGGTTGTCTCGCATCATTTAGGTTTGATCAATGAACAGAAGTACGGTATCCCATTCATCCTCACTCGCGTCCCAGTACTAATACCTATTGCTTATGAGACATTTTTGCGAAAAAAGGCATACGCACTTAGTAATAATAATGTGTCAGCTGTACGCCGTAACGGCGCTTCGCTGCCGTGCAACCAGTCGCATGCAGGCTGAGTACACCGCGAGGACGCCCACCCCTGCGCGGATTCGAACCCGCGCTGCAAGATTACGAGACGAGCTCGTTACCTCTAGGCTACGGGCCGACCCGCGCGATCACCACTAGTCGCGTGTGGACTTACACCACGAGGACGCCTGCCTCTATGCGGATTGGAACCGCTGACTTAATGGTTACAAACCAAGCGTGCAGACCACTCGGCCACCGGCAGAGACAAGTACAAACCCGAGGCAGTAACCAGTTGGAGGAGAAGCAATGCATGTTCTAGCGTTACTATTACTCATAATCATCCGGATGGTCGATCTCAAGGGCTCTAATTAGGACGACGGAGCTCAACAACCGGTTCCAGTACTACCGTTAGTTTTTTCATATCTCATTACGATGTAATTTATTGACTATCTCCTACTACGTGAGGAAGTAAATTAACCAGCTTAGGCGGCACAAGCTCCAAAGGAATTCCAGTACGACTCTAAAGAATCTGTTCTAAAACCCTACTCACGGCCACCATTGTTACCTATTCGGCGTTTTCTCTGGATGCGAGCGATACTTCACGGGCATCAGAAGCGACAGTAACAGCAGTGCTTAGTTCTGATGCTTTTGTCAAGGATAAAGTAAGAATTGCCTGGAAAATCCACTCTTTTAGCGATTAATCGATTATTAACGATTATCGCATCGATTTCGAACCTTCTGGTATGTTCCAAGTTCTGCACGTGACTACAAACCACCTGACATCTCGGCTGTGGGGAACAACTAACCTTGCTAGTTGACCTTCCAATTTCGAAAGTCGAATGTCAGTAAGAGACCTATAAATACAGCCAAGATTTGCAGTAGTTGTACAGTGTTTGTTGACGGTGGTTAATACGTTATTTTGTCAAGGTCATTGGTGCTCTGCTTTTTCCTTCTGTTGGGCTAGAAGTTTAGTGACACAGTAAAGTGCCAATTTCGGAATCGCGTCTAGTGAGAAGATTGTAATAAATGGCGACGGAGAAAATTGGAAATATGATGAATTTTTCTGCTGTACCATTTCTAAATCTGCTTTTCCAACAACATTCGCAAATGGAGGCACAAATGAAAATGATCGAAAAATTGACACAGTGTTTGAGTCTACAGTCAACAGGAGCAGCGACGCGGGACGCGCAGGCGAGTTCCGTTGATCGCGCGAATGCAATCACTGAAGTCAATTATGACGCGTGGTTCATGCGCTGCGAATATATGTTCCGGACGGACTTTATTCGTCAGGTCGACTCCTAGAAGGTGCGATTGCTACTCCGCAAGCCCGGAACAAGTGAACATTCAAGGTTCATAGACCACATTCTGCCCAAACAGCCGAAGGATCTGACCTTTGACGAAGTACTGTCGCAGTTGAAGGAAATTTTTGGTGAGTCAGTACCCTTGATTAGTATTCGCTATCAATGCCTGAACATCGTCAAACGAGTATCGGACGACTTTGGGGCCCTAGCAGCCATGATTAACCGTGAGTGTGAGCTTTTCAAACTACGCTCTTTATCGGACTATCATTTTAAGTGTCTCATTTTCCTTAGTGCTCTACAATCCCCCAGTGACGCTGAGATTCGCACGCGGCTTTTAGCCAAGCTGGATCAGGATCCTTATCTGACACTGAAGGCCTTCGTAAGTGAATGCAAATGGCTGCCCACTCTAAAACATGACACTGCTATGATCGAACGAAATGGTCTCGCACCACCAGATACCGTGCAACTCGTGAAAAAGGCCAGGACCGTCAACCGAGGCAAAACCTTCAAGAGGTCTACGAACAAACCGTCCACAGCATGCTGGTCATGCGGCGAATGGCATTTCGCGCGCTTTTGTCCGTTCAAACGTCATATTTGTCAAACGTGCCATAAGCGTGGGCATAAGGAAAAATACTGCAGTTAGCTCCGGCCGAAAAACTTGAAAAGTCTCATCGAAAGGAGCATTCTAGGAAGGATAGCGCAGAGTCTCTGTCCATAGTCGCCTCAATCCAAAGTGAGTGTAAACCGAGACGACGATTTATCAGCGTGCTGATCAAAGGGAGCCCAACGAAACTGCAATTTGACACGGCCTCGGACATCACGATTATTTCCAGGAGCACATGGAATCACATAGAGGCCAAAGATGGTTGAGTCTCAGAAAGTTGCACACAATGCATCCGTCGGTGTGTTAAACTTAGTGGGCGAACTTACTTGCAAGATTGCTTTCAAAGGTGTGGATAAGTCGGGAACGTGCTACATTTCAGATCGGCCGAATTTAAAGCTTCTTGAAGAGTTGCGACTCTTCGATGTTCCCTTGAATCAGATCTGCATCCGAGTTCCAGCAAGTCTAGACCCATCATCAAACTCCGTCAAAGGCATCACACGTTCGCTGAAGCGAAGATTTGCCTCTATCTTTCAGGATGACTTGGGCCATCGTACGAAATTCAAGGCAACGCTGAGCCTTCGACCAGGTGCTAAACTAGTGTTCAAGGCTAAAAGACCTGCACCATATGCAGCCATGTCAACCGTTCATCAAGAACTCAATCGACTGGAACGAGCCGGAGTCATCACAGCCGTCAACTACTCATCATGGCCCGCACCTATCGTCGCAGTGAAGAAGGAAAATGGCAAGGTACGCGTCTGCGCTGACTTCTCAACTGGGCTTAACGCGGCGCTGGACAACCACCAGCACCCATTACCCGTACCGGAAGATATCTTTGCAAAACTGTATGGTGGTAAGTGCTTTGCTTAGCTCGATCTGTCCGATGCCTACCTTCCAGTGGATGTTGACGAAGTCTCGAGGGAGTTGTTAACGGTCAACACTCGTCGTGGGCTGTCCCAATACAACCGCTTGCCCTTTGGTGTAAAAACGGCGCCAGCCATTTTCCAGCAGTTGATGGATACCATGCTAGCGGGCGTTCCTGGATCCGCTGCATATCTGGATGATATCATAGTGATGGGTCGAACACCGGAAGAGCTATTTAACCGCCTGGATGAAGTGCTTGGTTGTATACAGTCGTACGGTTCCCGGATCCGTGAGGATAAATGCAGGTGTTTCACGCCAATCCTCAAATACCTCGGCTTTATCTTAGAAAAGGATGGACGAGCAGATCCGGCAAATGTAGAAGCCATAAAAAATGTCTCCATCAACAGATCTGCAGTTCCCGCGTTCCCTTTGTGGGCATATCAGCCACTACAGCGCATTCTTGCTTGAGATGCATCGCCTGTGTGCCCCGCTAAACGAGCTACTAGCCAAAGGCCAAACTTGGAACTGCACATCAGAATGCCTTCGAACGGATCGAGACATTGCTGTTCTCAAACTTGTTTTTTGATTCGTTTCTATCCCGCCAAAGAGATTGTCCTAGCCACAGATGCATCAAGCCACGGGATTGGCGTAGTCATTTCACACACGTACACCGATGGATTTCAGAAGCAATCGCCCATACCGCCAGAACATTTAGGAAGGTTGAGAGCAATTACAGCCAGATCGAGAAAGTAGCATTGGCCCTAGTGTAGGCAGTCAAGAAATTCCACAAAAGGCTATACGGCCACAGCTTCAAGCTTGTGGTTCGGAAAAGGACATCCCGGCCTACACAGCCAACCGACTACAACGTTGGGCTCTTACCTTAATGCGGTATGATTTCGAGATCCACTACCAGTCGACAATTTCCATTGGCCAAGCGGATGCACTGTCACGCCTAATTAATTTCACTTAACAAAGACATGAGGATGCAGTCATTGCCTCGGTCGAGATCGAACCTGACGTCAACTCTCTGGTAAGTGATGCGTTGCACGGTCTCCCAGTTACCGCAGAAGCTGTACGAACCGAAACGCCTCGAGACCCAGTACTCCAGAAAGTTACACAGTTTCACAAACAAGTTGGTCACTTTCATATCCATCTGTCGAGTTGCAACATTCCTCCTAGAGGAGACATTTGCTCTCTGTTTTGAACGACTGCATACTATTTTCAGAAAGTGGTCATCCCCAAGGCACTTCAGGAGCGCGTTATTCGGCAATTCCACGCCGGGCATCCTGGGATCAACCGGATGAAGGCGCTTGCCCGCAGTTATGTATACTGGCTCTTCATGAACAAACAGCTACCTTCACTTCTCCGGCGAAGTGATGGTTTGTGACTTGCTTTCTTCGCTCTTCTCTGTCAGTAGCGGGGTACGACAAGGCTGCCCCATGTTCCCATTCCTTTACAATTTTGCGATGGAAGACGTCCTGTCGAGAGCTCTGAAAGGTTGCCAACTACAACTATTACCGAGTAAACGATGACATCGCACTGCTTGGTGACGACTTACAGAACATGCAGACCATTCTAAACCGTTTTGCGACGGAGGCATCTGAGTACTGAATGTGATTCGTCCCCTCGGAATCTGAAATGCTGCTCCATGGTTGCCACTCGCCCATTCCCGTGTACACTCTTAAAGGCACACACTTGCGTAGGTTGATAGCTTCGTCTACGTGGGCAACTGCGTGTGTACTGGCGGCGTTAAAGCTTGGTCAGCATTTGTCAACTCGAAACACTTGTGGCGTCAATGGGGATATCTTCCTTTGGTAAAGGGCGGTGTTACTATGTGGAAGCGTGTCATGGGCAGTTCGCGTGGATGCCACGTCGGCTCTCGGCCTTCGATAATGGGTACCTGAGGAAGATTGCTCGTGTATGGGGGGCAACAACGTACCTGAAGCAGTACAATTAGACGTTCTGTTTTAGGGAATGCGAGTATTCCCGTCAAGAAG